TCTATATTTAATACCCATCGAATGCGGTATAGGTAACGATCTAAGAATAAAATTATTATTTTTTGTCGGTTTCATTTTAAGCGTAATATCTCTATGTATAGGTGTTCGATTTTATCACAAATATATCATATGATAGCCTAGTTTAGGGGAATCTAATAAAAAAAAGTTTGAGTACTCATTGTGCATTTTAATTTTAGCAATTATTTTCGAATTTTATCATTCCACAACTAGGGAGTGTATCTTTTCTTCCGATCTTTATCTCTTTTGTTTTTCAATATTGTCTTCTACATTTATTCTTATTCATTCACATAATTTAATTAAAGATTACAGCTTTCTTTATAACATTTATCAATATTTAATAAATTATAAGTTTCAGTTTTGGCTTTTTTTTAATCTTTAGCAAACCAATTTTCATCATTTAACATTCATTCACATAATTTAATTAAAGATTACAGCTTTCTTTATAACATTTATCAATATTTAATAAATTATAAGTTTCAGTTTTGGCTTTTTTTAATCTTTAGCAAACCAATTTTCATCATTTAACATAGTTACGAAACACTTTTGTATATATAGTTAGGCAAAGGAATATACAAAAAGAATATTTTTACAATCCACATATAATTTGTATAATTTGTATAATTTGAAATATTATATTGAAAAAAAGCAAATAAAGACACAAAACACACAAATTAAAACAAATAAAGATATAAAGCGCAAAGTAAAGTACCGTAAAACGACGATTAAATGATAAGCCTTAGAAGTACGGTTTTGAAATTTCAACGAAATATCCAAGTTCATCGAATGAGCGCATTTTTCTTTGTCAGAATCACATTTAACACTAATAAATGAATAACATTATAATCAACGAATTTTTCTACTTATATTTGATCTGATTTTAGATTCTTTCCACGAGCAGAACTTTTTCCGTTATATTTATAGTTATTAACGGTTCATAATATCTATCTTCGTCGCCGTAATCTTAACCATAGAAGTAGAGTTCCCTAGGAAAAAAAAATTAATATTCAAACAAAACAAAACTAATACAAAATAAACTCAGCAATATATCTTCAGAAAAGTGCATTTTGATTAAAATTATAAGTGATTCAAAATTTTATTATAATAAATTATATATTACTATTACAGCCTTTTTAAACCGAATATATCTTTTCAAATATTTTTAGTTATATAAATTATTCATTAATTGCAATTGCTGACTATAATAAAATTAGAATTTTTATAAGAGATTCAAAATAAGTGAGACAGAATTTTAATTTAATGATTCATCGAATTTTCAACAGTCCTGGCAGTATTGACAACTGCATCGGACATACGCTGTACTAAGTTAGATTTTGAAGGCTTTGGTTGAACCATAATATTAGCTTGGGAAACAACATAAATTCAATTCAAAATATTTTTCTTCGCCATGTTCCCAATGATCTTTCATTGCAGTTTCCAAGATAAAGTAAAGTTTAATACCGGACCTGTCAAATTTTCAGTTTCTACTCTAAATTTCCTTTGTTTTTCGGTATCAAAAATATCACGATATTGCTCCATCTTCTTTATAAGCTTATCGGTGATCATTAACGAAACCACGTATGTGATGACGAATTTTTATAGGAGTCACATTTCTCCCCTACGAAATGTAGATGAATAATTGACTAATTCTTCAGTACGTATAATATATGATATTTGACTCTATATTATCTTCATTTTTACCTAAATTTTTGCACGAATTCTTCGAAATATCAAAAATAAACTCTACAACTAATTTTTGAATTGCAAAGCTCAATTTGATAATAATTTGAATATTATATTTTGGAATAATTTTAATGCACCATCTATTGATTTTATATATTCTACCCTTGACTTTAGTAAGATCATCAACGTTTTTCTCTAGTTTTTGAATATCTTTTTATTAACTAATAGAATTATTATAGGTGTAATCTCTCCATTGAATATTCGTGGCCATTCCGAGTGTAGCTTGATATTTTATAGTTTCACTCTTAACAGAATTCTGCTCCTTTTCTGATATCTTTATTTTCATTAATCAATTGAATAATTTCAATTTCGAAATCTTTATTTTCTTTTTGCTTATTTTTAGTTTTGTAATTTTCTTCCATTTTTAATTGATTCTTCAATTTATTATACTCACTCGACAATTTATTGTATTTTGCTTCATGATTCGTTTTATCATCATTCCATATCTTTTTCAAATAACTATAGTATGGATTTTTTGTACAGTAATATCCATCCGCCTCAAATCTTTCACAATTTTTTATTCTTTAAGGTAACTCGAATAAGAACGATTTTAACTTGAATACTCTGATACATCAATGTCGAAAAACTGACCTTTGATTGCTAGATAATCCTTTTACATTATTTTCAATAAGTTTGATTTGATCAGATTCCACGCGATAAATACTTTTTTTTAAAGATTCCTCGGGATTTTGGCGAAATTCAATATATCGATTCAATGTATGTATCAAGGCAAATACGATACACTTTGCTGTCAATTTTGCTACTAAATTCTTATTCGTTCTTTGCTATCAATTGGTTCCAATATTGCTAATAGAATTCACTTTGGTAAAAATATTCCCAGTTGCTAGCGACTCTAAATTGGTCGAATAGAATTCATGCAGTGTTATTGAGTGAATTAGTTTCTGCTTCTTGCGACATCACGTTTTCTTGGGCATTATTTTTGATATTTTCATTTTTTCGGTGCAATTCATATTTATTTATCCAAATCGGTAATTATTCAAACTCATGATTTTCTTTTTAATAAAAATGACATTTCAAATCATAAAATGGCATATTTGTTTTCTGGTTGCATCTTATTTGATTTATTCCCAAACGAAGAAGTTTGAATGTATTAATTAAGATATTAATTTGAACAAATTCCATTATTAACGTTTTTATTTTGACGATTAACGCGTACAAAATCATTCAATTCAAACATGGCTGAGTTGTATTGCAAAAAAAAAAAAGGCCTTTGAGCTTAAACGCAAGAAATTTTACTGATATAATTATTTTAAATAAGTCTAAATTAACTAAAAACAAACAAAAATTATTCCTTACTGAAAAAGAAATTAACCCAATTTTTTGATTAAACATATAATTTAAAATGCCTGATATCAAAGATTTGCAGGCCAACTTGCTGGTACTTGCGGGCCACAATTGCCATCTGTAAATGAGATTTTTTTTTGTTTTGTGATTTTGTGTTCTAATTTTATGTTCTATAAAACTAAAATTTACATATTTTTTTAATTGTAAAAGACATTTCTGGTAAGATTTTTATTCGCTTTTATCGAATAATCTTTAACTAAATATGCTGTAAGTGAGATAATAATACGTTAGATTTCTTTTATGAAAATTGAATAAAAGAAATTCTACTGTTAATAATCTATTTTAAAACCTCATGATTCTTGATATAAATTCTTGTTTTCTTTACGTTTTATTTTTCAGTAATTCACGTTAATAACTTTTGACAACTTATTTTAAAGTTTGGATTAAACAATTCAAGAAAAATAATTCCAAAGACAAATACTGTTCTCCAATACGATAGTAGTAACCGATTATCAAAACCAGGATTGGATTACCACGTGATAAATTTCCAAAAAATCTCTTTAGGGTTTATTATTTAGTTAATTCAATAAGTCTGCTATTATTATTAAGTTCGTTTCGTATTCTCTGTGCCTGCTGAATGGTAAACTCTATTCTTTCAGTTGATCATGCATTAAGTTATAAGATTTTATAATAATGTAATTTCTTGTATAATAGGACGCTTCATACATTTGAAATTCTACAAGATTGTATTTAAGATGTTGGTTACCTCGAGAATTATAACTTAGAATTCACGACGGAAATTTCTTTATAAAGTTTACTTTGTCACAATAAATTTAATACGTTGCTCAGTGTCATATAATTATAAATTTACATTAGCAGAGGCAACTGCATTATATTGTATAAAAAAATTTGGAGAATATAAACTTAATGTTGGAGGTTTGTAACACGATATTGAGATTATGTGATGTGCAGGAATAATATAAATTTTAATTACTTAATAGTCGATCTAACAATGCGTACTCTTCTCGAGGGAGATTGTATTAATGAGGACGTACGGGTGACCTATGTGGAAGCACGTGTATTGACAAAATTTTAGAGCCTGTATAAAAAAGAAACTTGGAAAAGTGCTCTAAAGAACCTTCGAAAGAAACATTCATGAACAATACCAATTCCTGATTCATGATTTCATATATCAAATTTGTATTCAAAGTCATTTAATTGGACATCGAAAAGTGATGCTCGGCACTTATTGATTATGTCAGCCAAGAAATCAAAGACAAGATGAAGGAAAAAGATTGGCTTATTGAACTTTTATTTCGAGATGTTATTGAAATGTTCCATCCAGTGGTAGAAAGAATTCTCACACTGATAAATAACCAGCTAAATTCTTCAAGACAAAAGTGCTCTGTAATGTGGGTTTGCCGAGTCACCATATTTGATAAAAATGATCAAAGAAAGATTCTCTGGTAAAGTTCCTCTAATTGTAGCTCCGCAAAATCCGATCACGCCGCAATGTATGGATGAAATAAAAAGGCCGTAGCTAATCGAAACTAACTATGAACTATGGTAAATAAGTTCCTGATAATTATTATGTTTTTCGTAAGTGTCGATCCCGAAGATGGAAGTTCAGCTGTCTTGCGAAACGAGGGAGAGTTGTCACACCCGATGAAGCATGTTTAGATATCTACTATCCAATTCACTCTGATCAAACTTCTATCTTATTAAAGTATTCTTCACCACGTGTCCGAAGCCCTTTCATTGATGTTCTTCGAAAGGATTTCCTAATTCATGCCATTTAATTTTAGGAACTGGTTCTTGAGTTTTCAAGATAAAGTTGAATACCGGACCTGATCAAATTTTTTAATCCCTACTCTAAATTCATTTCGTTTTTTCGATATCAACAATATCACGATATTGCTCCATCTTTTTTATAAGCTTATCTGATTAAATGGTGATCATTAACGAAACCACGTAATGCGAGAATAACTTTGCTGACGAATTTTTATAGGAGTCACATTTGGTATTTATCATCTGTTAACAAGTCTAAATGAATATTTAACTGATTCTTCAGTATGAAATATGATATTTGACTCTGGATTATCATCATAATTTATGCCTAAATATTTGCACAAATTCTTCGCAATATCAAAAATAAACTTTACTGAAGTGTAAAGCTCAAAATTGATTTAAATTTTTTATCTTCAGTACCAATTCGAATATTATATTTTTGTAATAATTTCAATGCACCTTCTTCATTGATTTTATATTTTCTACCCTTGACTTTAGCAAGATCATCAACGTTTTTCTCTAGTTTTAGAATATCTTTTGTTAACTGTATAGAATTACAATTGGTGTCATCACTCGGATACATCATAGCTTCGCATTAATCAATTGAATAATTTCATTTTTCGAAATCTTTTTTCTTTTTCAATTGCTTAATTTTAATTTTGGAATTTTCTTTTTCCACTCTCAATTGATTCTTCAATTTATTATGCTCACTCGCAAATTATTATACTCGCTCAACAATTCATTGTATTTTGCTTCAAGACCCGTTTTCAATTCATTATATTCTTCCTGCCAATGATCATTGACATTCTTGCATTTCTTTTCCAAACAATTAGTCATTTTATAATAGAATAGATTTTTGTACATACAATGATAAATCTTTGATAATTTTTATTCTTTAAGGTAACTCGAATAAGAGCGATTTTAACTTCAATACTCTGATGCACCATATGTCGAAAAATTGACCTTTGATCATTAGACAATCTTTTTAAATAATTTTCAACAGGTTTGATTTGATCAGATTCCACGCGAAGAATACTAAAAAATTTTATTAAAATAGAATTATTTAAAGATTTATCAGAATTTTGGTGAAATTCAATATATCGATTCAATTTATCGATCAATTTTGCTTCGAATATTTCACCAAATTCTTGCTTAAGAATATCCGATTCAACTTTGATTGTTCTTTGCTATCAATTGGCTCCAATATTTCTAATAGAATCCACTTTTGTAAAAAATCTTCCCGCAGATTCTTGACTCTAAATCGTCAAATAGAACCAATGCAATGCAGTGTTATTGAGTGAATTAGTTTCTGCTTCTTGCAACATCCATTTTCGTGGGCATTTGAATTATCTTCGCTATTATTCTTGTTATTTCATTCAAATCGATAATTATTCAAACTCTTTATAGTTTCTTTTTTAATATAATAAAAATGACATTCAAATCACAAAATGTTTTTCTGGTTGCACCATTCAAAGCTTAAACGCAAGAGATTTATTTAAATATCATTAATTACCTAAAAGTCTGTTAATCGCTAGACAGTATATTTTTAAATTATACGTGGTAGTTCAAAATTTTATTATTATTATAATTATATATTACTATTACAGCCTTTTAAACCGACTATTTCAAATATTCTTATATAAATTAATCATTTTGATTACTAATTACAATTGCTTTCATAAAGAAAACAATAATAAATTTGGAATTTTATGAGATTCAAAATACATGAGACGGAATTCTAATCTAATGATTCATCGAATTGGCAACTGGATTGGACATACGCTGTACTAAGTTATAACAGAAGCTTGGTGGTAAATCTCGTCCTGAGTGTCGTGAGCGATGATCGCGGGGAAATAACATAAATTCACTTTTAAATATCTTTCTTCGCCATGTTCCCAATGACCTTTCATTGCATGTTTTTCGATGGGATTTCCTAATTCGTACCATTTAATTTCAGGAACTGGTTCTTGAGTTTTCAAGAAAAAGTAAAGTTGAATACCGGACCTGACCAAATTTTCAGTTTCTACTCTAAATTCCTTTTGTTTTTCGATATCAACAATATCACGATATTGCTCCATCTTCTTTATAAGCTTATTAACTTGTTCTCTGATTAAATGGTGATCATTAACGAAACCACGTAATGCGAGCATAGCATAACTTTGCTGACGAATTTTTATAGGAGTCACATTTGATATTTTATCATCTCCCTTACGTTTGTTAACAAGTCTAGATGAATATTTAACTAATTCTTCAGTATGATATATGATATTTGACTCTAGATTATCATCATCATTTTTATCTAAATTGTCGCATAAATTCTTCGCAATATCAAAAATAAACTCTACAACTAATCTTTGAAGTGCAAAGCTCAAAATTGATTTAAATTTTTTATCTTCGGTACCAATTTGAATATTATATTTTTGCAATAATTTCAATGCACCTTCTTCATTGATTTTATATTTTCTACCCTTGACTTTAGCAAGATCATCAACATTTTTCTCTAGTTCTTGAATATCTTTTGTTAATTGTATAGAATTATTATTGGTGTCATCACTCCAATAAACATTCGTGGCCTTTCCGAGCGCAGCCGGATACATCATAGCTTCCCTCTTAGCGGATTCAGCTTCTTTTCTAATAATTTCATTTTCAAAATCTTTATTTTCTTTTTCCAATTGCTTAATTTTAATTTTGGAATTTTCTTTTTCCATTCTCAATTGATTCTTCAATTTATTATACTTATCCTCCAATTTATTATACTCACCCCCTAATTTATTATGGCCGCTTGACAAATTATTATACTTATCATTGATATCTTTGCATTTTTTTTCCAAATTATTCTTCATTTTATAATAGAATGGATTTCTTGTACAATGATAACCTTCCGCCTCAGATCTTTGATAATTTTTATTCTTTAAGGTAACTCGAATAAAAGCGATTTTAGCTTGAATACTCTGATGCACCATGTATCGAAGAACTGACCTTTGATCGATAGACAATCTATTTATTTGATTTTCAATAAGTTTGCTCTGATAAGATTCCACCCGAAGAATACTAAAAATTTCATTAAGAATAGAATTTTTTAAAGATTCCTCAGGATTTTGGCGAAATTTAATATATCGATTCAATATATCGATGCAAATACAATATGCTTTTCTGTCAATCAATTTTGCTTCGAATATTTCACCAAATTCTTGTTTAAGAATATCCAATTCAATTTGAATATGTTGTTGTTCTTTGCTATCAATTGGTTCCAATATTGCTAATAGAATCAACTTTGGTAAAAAATCTTTCTGAAGATTCTTGACTCTAAATCGGTCAAATAGAACCCATGCATTGTTATTGAGTGAATTAGTTTCCGCTTCTTGCAACATCTCATTTTTGTGGGAATTTGAATTAACTTCGCTATTATTTTCATTCATATTTGTCTATCAAATCGATAATTTTTCTAATTTTCTTTTTAATTCAAATGGCATTTCTGGTTACACCATATTTGATTTATTCCAAATGAATCAAATTAATTAATTTGAACAAATTCAATTGTTTTATTTTCATTCCTCACGTTCCTCAAATTAATTAATTAAGATATTAATTTGAACAAATTCAATTTATTTTGACGATTACGTCTTAATCATTCTTTCAAACATGTGCAAGTTTCATTGCAGAAAAAAGTTGAGATTTTATTTATAAATTAATTTAAATATCATTAACTAAAAGTCTATTAATCGCTAGACAGTACGTTTTAAATTATGCGTGGTGGTTCAAAATTATAATAAATCATATATTACTATAATTCTTTTCAAATATTCTTATATAAATTATTCATTTTAATTAATTACAAAGATAACAATAACAAAATTGGAATTTTACGAGATTCAAAATATATGAGAAGAACTTTAATCTAATGATTCATAACAGTCCTGGCAGTATTGACAACTGCATTGGACACACGCTTTACAAGGTTAGGTTTTGGAGGCTTTGGTTGAGCTATAATATTAGCTTGGTGGTAAACAGTGTCGTGAGCGATGATCGCAGGGAAACAACATAAATTCACTTCAAACCCTTTTTCTTCACCATGTTCCCAATGACCTTTCATTACATGTTTTTCGATGGGATTTCCTAATTCATACCATTTAATTTCAGGAACTGGTTCTTGAGTTTTCAAGATAAAGTAAAGTTGAATACCGGACCTGATCAAACTTTCTGTTTCTACTCTAAATTCATTTTGTTTTTCACTATTAACAATATCACGATATTGCTCTATCTTCTTTATAAGCTTATTAACTTGTTCTCTGATTAAATGGTGATCATTAACGAAACCACGTAATGTGAGCATAGCATAACTTTGCTGACGAATTTTTATAGGAGTCACATTTGATATTTTATCATCTCCCTTACGTTTGTTAACAAGTCTAGATGAATATTTAACTAATTCTTCAGTATGATATATGATATTTGACTCTAGATTATCATCATCATCATTTTTATCTAAATTGTTGCATAAATTCTTCGCAATATCAAAAATAAACTCTACAACTAATCTTTGAAGTGCAGAGCTCAAAATTAATTTAAATTGTTTATCTTCGGGTTTAATTTGAATATTATATTTTTGTAATAATTCCAACGCACCTTCTTCATTGATTTTATAATTTCTACCCTTAACTTTAGCAAGTTCAGAAATGTTTTTCTCTAGTTCTTGAATATCTTTTGTTAACTGTATAGAATTATTATTGGTGTCATCACTCCAATGAACATTCGTGGCCTTTCCGAGTGCAGCCTGATGCATCATAGCTTCCCTCTTAGCAGATTCAGCTTCTTTTCTAATAATTTCATTTTCATTAATCAATTGAGTAATTTCATTTTCGAAATCTTTATTTTCTTTTTCCAATTGCTTAATTTTAATTTTGGAATTTTCTTTTTCCATTCTCAATTGATTCTTCAA